CGTGAGAGATCTGTGTCATGACTGTTCAAACAGGAGTGCTAAACTCTAGTTCTAAAAATTAGGTAGAAATGGATGTGGGTATAAGATAGCAATAGCAAATACATAAGAGTTTAGCACATGCCAGGCACTATTCTAAATGCTTTGCATGAACTCATTTTACCCCACAACAACCCCGTGAAGCACATATTATTAATATTCCCATTTGAAGATGATAAAACTGAGGCACAGAGAGGTTAATTTACTCACTGAGGTCACAAAGCTCCCAAGAAGCAGAGCTGGGACTCAAACCCTGAGGGCTGGCAGGGGACACTATGCTCTTAAGACTGGACATCCTAACTCCAACAGTCCGTTCACTGCGAGGCCAACTTCCAAGTGTGGTGTTGCTCTAGCTCCCGCCAGGGCTGCTATAGCCTAACAGTGTTGTGGTCATCCTGTTCCCTCTAGAAGTGGGCTCCCCGTGCTGTGTTTAGCTGATGCCCTCGCCCTGGGGGAGACGAGCCCTCCCAATCCAGGAGGAGGAGCAGGGAAGAGAACAGTGCTGGTCACAAGTAAATCTTGTATTTTTCTGCTTTTTTATTTTGTTTGTTGTTCAATTTTTTTCTCCCTTATCTCTACTCTTCTGGTTGGTGTAGTCAAGCCCCAGGTTTTCCTCTATTTAAAAAATTCTGGATGTGAAGTTAGTAAACAGTTGACGTGAGCGAGCATATGTTACGGAAGTGGAAACAGCTGGTGTTGGGGAGGCTGCTGAGCGTTGTTTTCATGAGGGGGAGTCGCTGGGAAATCTCCCTGCCGGGGCCTGGAGTGTCCCTCACCGCTTCTGTGGGCCCTTTTGCCTCCCCTGCCCTGCCCTGCCTCTCCTTCCCTCTCCCCCCCGCCCCGTTTTCTCTCCGTCCCTTTCCTTCCCTTGCTATGCTTTCATGTTAAAAGGACAAAGCTTCTCCCCCCCCCACTCCCTACCTCTTTTTCCTCCTCTCTGTCTTTATTTCTTTTTTACATTTATTATTTATTTATTTATTTATTTATTTATTTATTTATTTTTGTGGGACCCTCGCCGGCAGCCAGGGAACGAACCGGAGCTGCAGAGGCTGCGGGCCGCCTCTCAGCCCAGCGCTCAACCGCTGCGCCACCAGGGGAGGCCCCTCTCTCTCTTTTTTAAAAAGATTTATTTATGCATACAAGAATGGGGATGCAGACGAGAAGTGCAGGGGGCGGGGTGGGAGGACTCACCAGAGACAGAGTGGGGAGCAGAACAGGCAGATCTACTGAAACACACTGCTGAGGGGAGCAGCGGGGAGGCAGGAGAGGTCTGGTGGGCCATGTGGGTAGCTCCAGGGCTGGGGATCGAACTTGTGTTACAGCAGTTTGCAGACAGCTTCATAGGTTGTTTCTCAACCCCCTGCGCCACCAGGGAGGCCCCCCTCCTCTCTTTTTGGAGGGGTTATGACCCTTACTTTTGCCTTAACCTCACAGGACACAGAAGCAGTGAAAAGCAATGCAGTGGGTTCTGTGGCCAGGGGAGTCTGACCTGGACAGCGGCCACCTCAGTCCCAGCAGCTACTGGTGGAGAGTGAGGGCTTGGAGGCCAGTGCCCAGGCGCAGGCAGGGAGGCCCTGAGGACAGGGTGGAGCCAGGAGAAGCCCCTGCCAGGGTGGTGACTTAGGAGGGTGACTGGATTTACAATGACCATATGACCCCCAAAATGATTCCCTTTTCATTAATAACGACAGTGATGCCATGAACGCCACGGCAGTAGTAAACACCTCCACAGCGCTCACTATGTATTAACACTGTTCTTCCTCCTCACAGTCCTTTGAAGTAGGTATTATGTTATTCGTTCCGTTTTAAAATGAGGAAACTTAAAAATGTTTATTGAGGTAGCCCTGATTTACAACACTGTATATGCTTTCAGGGTATAGGTCATGCCACACCCACCACCAAGATACCCACGGTCCTCTGCCATGGTCTACTGAGCTCCTCCCCGCTTGGCTGCAGGGGCCCCACCTTCACCCCCCGGAAGCCTCAGTTCTATAGTCAGATTTCTAAGATTTGTTTTGCTTTGGTTTTTACATTCCACTATGAGTGCAATCATCCATTATTTGTCTTTCTCCTTCTGACTGTGCTTAGCAGATCCCCCTACAGTTCTAGCCATGTTTTTGCAAATGGCAAGATCTCTCCTTTGTATATAGCTGAGCAGTATTCCATTGTGTGTATGTACTTTGATTTTTTTATTATTAAGTTGTCAGTTGTTTACATGTCTAGGTAACTCTGGGGTACATTTTTACTCTTCCACATGTGCACACGCTTCACTCACCTTCCCCCGGACCTCTGGTGACATCCTACCCCTTCCTTCCCCTACCCCCTCCTCCCTCTGTTCTCCCTGTTGCATCTGGTAACCAGTAAATTTTCCACTGAGTCTATGATTTGTTTTTATGGAGACAGAGAGCTTAAATAAGTTACCCAAGCCACACGGCCAGAAAGTACCAGAGCTGGGACTCAAACCCACAGTCTGAGCTGCAGAGCTTTAAGATAACCCATTCTTATGCCTCCCTTAACAGCCATGGAAAAGCAAACAAACAACCTGACCAGTTGGCACAGTTGCTCCATGTGGGTCTTATGTGGAGCACACAGGGGTGCCAAATTAGGGATTGTGATATTCTGGAATTCTGACAATTTCAACACTTGATTACGTGGTGGTGTAGACCTCTTGCTCGGAACACAATTTGTCTACTTGTGTTTCCTCTCAGCAGGTGGCCTGCTGACCCCAGTTGACAAAGAATACTGGAAATCAAGTAATCCATTTATTCAATCACTTAGCAATTGTCTGGTATGTGTCAGGCACTGGGCTGGGTTGTGAAGATAAAGAAAAGATTTGGTCTGTTGAGAAGTCAACCAAGTAAACATCAGGTATAATAACATAGGGTGATAAGAATGATCAAGAGAGGAAGGCTACATGAGAGATGCTATGAGAGCCTCTGCCCACATCTGGGGGCACAGCTGAGACTGGGGAGGGAACTATTGGGGGTGTCTTTCTGGTTGTACCCCATCTCAGGGATGAGCTGGGTGAGTTAGGGAACAAACGGAGCATTTCTTCCATCGGAAGGGAGCGCCGGGACATGCTGTGTCTTCATGGAGACACATTTGATTGGTGAGTCTGTTGTCTGTACCAAGGGGCTTGGGAGGTTAATTTTAATTTTGCCTGGCATGAACTTCCCCAGTGGCGAGCTAGGAGATGGCATTACGCCATGATTTTCACGAACACTAATGAAAGAACTAGTTACTCCCTGTTATGGCTGATTCATGTCCCTTTCCTCACTCCTATATTGACATCCTAAGCCCCAGTAGCTTAGAATATGGCTGTGTTTTAAGATGGGGACTTTCAAAAGGTAATTAACGTAAATTGAGGTCATTTGGGTGGGTTCTAATCCAATATGCCTAGTATCTTTTTTTTAATGTCCAATCCTCTCATTTACCTTTTGAAAATTTTATTATCACTTATCTTCTTACGTCATTGTTCATTTTTGTACAGTAATTGGTTTCTCCCCTCAGGTGTAGTACCCACACTTCTCCCACCTCCATATCACCTGTGAACCATCACGCCAGTGCCTTGTGCTCCTCCCTCCTCTCTCACTCCCCCTCCCTTGCTGGATGCCTCAGATCAATGGTCAGCTTGCAAGTTTTGTCTTTTTCTTGACCTTTTGTTTGGTTTCCCTATATTCATCATATAAGTAAAACCATCCCATATTTATCTTTTTTGTTTTGACTTATTCAGTTAGCATAATTCTATTAGATCCATCCCTGTTACTGCAAATGGCATGAGTTTGTCTTTTTTGATGACTGAGTAATATTCCATTGTGTATATATACCACAACATTTTTATCCATTCATCTGTTTTGGGGGCATTTGGATTGTTTCCTTATCTTAGCTATTGTAAATAATGCTGCAGTAAACATGGCCATGCAGGTTTCCTTTCAAATTAGTGTTTCTGTGTTCTTGGAGTAGATTCCTAGGAGTGGAATCACTGGATCATATGGTAGATCCCATTTTAGTGTTTTGAGGAACCTCCACAATGCTTTCCACAGAGTATGCCTAGTGTCTAATAAGAAGAGGGGATTAGGACACAGACACACACTGACAAGCACATGAGAAGACAAAGGGAGGAGATGGTCAACTGCAAGCCAAGACGAGGGGCCTCAGGAGATACTGACCCTGGCACAACCCTGTCACACTCTGGTCTTGGTGAGGAAATCGATTGCTGTTCTTGAAATCACTTAGTCTGTGGGGTTGGTTATGGTGGTCTTCAGAATTCCCTGCCTTATCCTCACTTGCCTATGATAAATGTGTCCTTTATTAGATCAATGTCTTCAGAGAAACCCCTTTTGAAATTACCAGGGTTGCTAAATGGGATCCAGAGAGGAGAAGATCACAGTTCCTGGTTGCAAGGAGCCCTGTGGTGTGAAGGGGCACTGGATGCTGGGAGCCAGGCTCTGCTCTTACCCACCCTCGGCCAAAAGTAAAAACAAGAAGAGATTTCATAGATGCAGGTGCACAGCCCATGTGCGCTGTCAACCTTGGGATTTCATGTTGGATTCCAAACGCTTCCATTGGTACACAAGTAAAATTTGATGAACTTTAATACTATATTCCATCAAAAATATTTTCTTTCAAAATGGAGCTCCAATTTTCTTATGGAGAGCAGATACATGGACAGTTGGAATCTTGCAAATTTTTAAAGCGGTGTTGTAGGGTCATCCTTGCAAAACTTGGGCAACTGAGTTGGCTGCCTTTTTTCCCCCAGAAATGATATGAAAGTATTGTGCTTTTTTTTCCTAACCTAGTATGACTTAGAAGTTGATTACAAGCCATTCTCCCCAAACAACAACCTCCCTGCCCTACCCCCCACATATTTAGTAACATGTAGCAGATCAGACAGGCCTCTTTATTAGCTAGAAACGCCACATAATTACAATGATAATACAATTTATTTTTCACTAGGACATTTTTCAGAGTGAAAGAAGATTCCATTAAAAAATATGCCAAGACAAAGTCAAAGCAAATACACAACCGCTGTAGTAGACAAATATTTGTCCTACTTACAGCTGTCCTGAGGAAACATCCACTGTATTAGCTCATTCATTAAGTCTTGCAGATCACAAGTATGTTTTTTTCTTCAAACAAAGTAATTTGGATAAACTCATGATGTCATGTGTTCTCAATCTTCCCCAAATCATTGCCGTGTGAAGAATTACAAGTGTGGGCACCGGCATCTGATTGCTTCTCGGGAGTCGCAACTCTGCTGACTCAAGAAGCAGTGGAATCTAGTAGAAATAGTTGTCACTGAGGTGTTAGGAGTCTGCAGTTCTAGCTCTGGCTCTGCCATTACTAGCTGACTGACAAGTTTTCTTGGCTTTAAAATGCGAAGGTTGGACCTCGTGGTTCCTAAGACCTGTGTTTCCAACAGCCGCAGCTTAGGGCCGGCAACCAGTGTGGGAGGAGGCTGGGGCCTGTCCTGAAGCTGCATGTTTCGAACAGTGTTCATGAGATGGAGGGCAGAGTGAACGTCCGAGTCACGAAATGGGGAGGGTGCTGGTAGACACTGCTTGGGGACAGCAACCCTTCAATGTTCTTCCCGAGATGCAGCCCCAAAGATCTGCCTTCCTCGTGGGAACCTGGGATTTGGTAAGAATCAGCATAGTGACAAAAAATAAATAATGAACCTTAACTACAAGAATGGAACAAAGCTGAATGTTGAAATTCTTGGAGAAAGCTGGGCTACTAAGACAATTATTTGGAAACAAAAACAGAAAACATACATGGTCATCCCAGTAACGCTCTCATCAGCAACAGCTTCATTGGCAATGATCTCCAATGCAGTGTGGTCTTGGTGTGGTCTTGGTTGATAGATGGCAGTGGATGACCCGCCAAAATTGGATTTGGCACATTAGCTTTGCCTGTCTCAAAAGTTGGAAATTGCACTTTTCAGCCAGCAGAATGACAAGAAATTTAAGATGCAATAATGACATAATGTGATAAAGAGGCTGTCAAGAATAGGAAAACACTGTCAGTAGCGATATGAACTGTTTCAGCTGTTTTTCAGAAGTAAACTTTTTAATCCGGATATGGTTTATGAGCAACAAAATGCATCCACTTTAAGTGTACATTGGTAAGTTCTGACTGACATACTCATAAATCACCACTACAATCATCTAGTGCATTTCTATCATCTTCCAAATTTTCCCTGTGCCTTATCCTAGTTAATTACCCCAACCCCCAGTCCAGACAGCCATTGGTCGCTTTCGGGCCACCATAGATTAACCTTTTCTTTTCTAGAATTTCATATACATGGGATCACATGTAGGTATTTGTTTGCACCTTCTTCCACTCAGTGTAATGTTTTTAAATGTCTTCTATGCTTCTGATGTATCCCTCCTCTTTGTTGGTGAATAATGGCCTATTACATAGATACGCCATGAGGAATATGCACTCACCTGCTGGCAGGTGTCTGGGTTGTGTCTAGTCTTTGGATATTATGAACAAAGCTGCTATGAACATCTTGCATTAGTCTTTGTGTGGATGTTTTCATTTGGATAAACACCTGTGAAGATCAGTGAGTGGTGATTCTTATTCTGCACGTGTCAACTAGGCTGGCCATGGATACTCAGCTTAAACATTATTGGGTCTGAGTTGAGATTATTCTATCAGAACTTGCCATCACCTCCACACAGTGGCTTTTCCCATCACAGGTGCCCCAAGTACAATGGTGCCTGCTGGAGCAAATGACCTAAGCAGCGGGGATGCTTATTTTTCTGTCTGGATCTACTCCCTGGCCTTCCTGAGCTAGGCTTGATTCAAATCTTGCAACCTTTCATGGCACTTAAGGTGTTTTTAGTAAACCAGCATTCTCAAGTGTGAAATATGCTGGTTCTATTAGCAGAAGCAGCATACTAAGAATTATGCTACCTTCTTAGTGTTGAGAAGTAACAGACACAATCATTTGTCCTTTAGTTTCATGGGGTATTCTGGTATATTTGCTCATTCAATAACCCTCCACTCATTCAACAATACAGGTCTCTGAATCTTCAGGGAATTCACCTCCTCCCACTTTGATGGAGCATCCCAAGGCCTGCAATTTTCTAACCACTTCTTGCTCATTTCATTATTATAATGTCATTGGTGTAATGGACTGATGCAAGGTGGTATGGGAAGTCCAGATAGCTCTGGTTTCTATGGCTACATTACAGGTGGCAGGAGAGTTAACGTAACACTGGGGCAACATTGAGAATATACGTAAATATACACCCTTGTCTATCTAGGAGGACTAAGGACTGTTTCTGATTTACCTGTCAGATAGAAGTGGAAGTCAATCAGTGCCAAGTCCATGGCTGCATATCACAGGCCTGAGGCTGTGTTCATCTACTCTAGCAAGGACCCCACCCCCACCCCCACTCTGCTGGCATTGCTGCTCCAATTACAGCATAGAGAGCAGGAGTGTGGCCATAGATGATGCTGGAAATGTGGGTTGGAACCAAATTGCAATGGGCCTGAAGGGATGGGGCTATGGCCTGAGCACAGGCCTGTGAGCCACAAATGCTATCCATTCCCTTGTTTCAAACAGGAAACTGTCTTTCCTAACGTTTTAATAGCTTCCAAATGAACTGCCTTGTGATGAGAGTGGGCGTTGTTGCCGTGACGGTGCCCAGATCCTCCCCCAGGACTGGAATGCTCCTTCTCCTGGCTGTCCGAGGTCAGCTGCTCCCCAACATGACTGCTGGAGTGGAATGTGCACTCTCCTCCCTGGAGTCCTTGCATTTGCTGTTGGCTCCCTGGGACAGCTCCCCATCTCCTATGCCTGAGAGATGCTGTTCATTCATGAGACTTCCTCAGGTGTCCCTCTGACCCCAGCGACGGTTAACTGCTTCCGTCTGTTGCCAGAGCACTTTGTTCATGATGTGAGCATAGGCCATGCAGAGATTCTGGCTCGGATTATGGCTGTCCACGTCCATGGCTCCCCTGAGAACCATGCTCTCTGGACATCAGCGCGGCCACAGCTCATTCATCTTCAAGTCACCAGAGGCTGCAGAGAGCCTGACACACACAGGCATTCCAGAAATGGTGATTTAATTAAAATTATTATTTAATTGAATCTGATTCTTTCGTTAGGAAATGGGGTGGAGTGGAAATTCCATACTGGGATGCATGCACACATATATTTTTTAAAGATTTATTTATGCATACAAGAGCTGTGGTGTAGGCCAGAGTTGCGGGGCGTGGGGGTGAGAGGATTCACCAGAGACAGAGTGGGGAGCAGAACAGGCAGACTGGCTGAAATACACTGCTGAGGGGAGCAGCGGGTGAGACAGGAGAGGTCTGCTGTGCCATGTGGGTCACCTCCCTGGCCGGGGATCAAACTCGTGCTGCAGTGGCTGCTGATAGCTTCATAGTGCTGAGACTTATTCCCTTGCACCATCAGAGAGGCTCTCTTTTGTAAAATATTTGTTGTCACTTAACAATAGACTCAAGCAAGACTTTTTGCATTGATATGATTTATCATTCTGAATTTATAAAGTAAAACTATCATAAACCTCAACCTTTACTTTTTTCTTCCATCTGAATTGGAACTATTGAACCAGGAATGCACATGTCTCTAATACCTTATCAAACATTTAGTTGTGTGTGTGTTTGTGTGTGTGTGTGTGTGAGCTTATGTTTACAAACTCTCCCACATACGGTCATTTGTCTTTTATCTTCAGGCATTAACCTCATAATAATTAAAGCAACAAAGTAGTGCTGACAGCAAAAATACTTTTGTTTCCAGTTTCAGAATTATAACCTGTTTTCGGTTCACACAAAAACCAATTCTTTTTAAATTCTGATTAAGGCATAAACTATTTACTGCTGTGAAAAACTGTGTTTGGCCTGTGTTTACACCTCCTGCAGGAGCAAATATTCAGTGAAAGGACTTCCACATTTAAGTTCCCAACTCTTGATTATCTTTTTAAATGGGAACCACCGATTACATTCACGCATAGCGCCTGAGTCTGCATTATGGACCAAACATGTACACTTTAGACAGCACACAAGACATTTAACAAAGCTGGGAAACTCTCACTATATGAACTCACCATAAACATGAAGATTCCAAGTCTCTATGAACGACAGAAGAGTATTGAGGTCATACATCTTGCACGCAAACGCCAGGGTGTGGGTAGCTTAGGGCTTTGGGGGCAGCTCTAGGATCATCTGGGGCCCAGGAGCCTCCTGCTTTGTATTCTAGAATTCTGAGGGCCTGGTCCTCATTCTTAACTTCCAAGGTCATCGTGTCCACATCACAATGCCGAGAAGAAGCCTCCCTACCACTTCTGGGTCCTACCCTAAGCATGTGGATCTCACTCTCTTTCATATCCCATTGACCGAAACTTAGTTCTGTGGCTACAAGCAGCTGCCAAATGAGACTGGGAAGTGCTGTCTATATTTAGTGCAGCCATGTGCCTGCTAAGCATTGGTGATTCTATTACCGAAGAGAAAGGGATAAAGACTCACTGGGGACTGGTGACCTCTTTGCCACATGCACACATACCAAAGAGAAGACACAACACTCAGATGGCATTTTGCAGAATAACATTGGAAGATTCCAGTTTTAGGGGAGCGGTCTCTGCTTGTCTTCATTACTTCCATTGGCCCAAATATAAGTCTCCCACGTCCATTTCCTGTTTTCATGTGCGAGGCCATGTGTGGATCAGAGCCTCTCCAGCTTGGCAGGCTCACTGGACAGAGGGCTCCGAGCTTGCTGGGGTTATTCAGGCATGTGTCTAATTTGCCGTCCATGAGCTCAACTCTGAGCATCGACTCATTTGGCAACAATAATTTATTTATAAATAATCATTAACCTTTTCTGAAGTGTTTTGTTCTGCATTTGATTTGCTAAAATTAAAACACTGGTTTTCTGAGGGTTTAGAAAAATAACACAAGTTGAGAAAAAAATTGGGGACATAAGGTGGGAGGAGGAAATTGAAGTTAAAAGTTGCTTAAATACTTACTTGGCGCTGCTTCAATGGCCAGGGTGTGGGTTTTTCCGTCTCTTTCTCTTTCAGCCTGGAATTTTCATCATTCTAATAAACCATGTCAATGACAAAGTTTTGTTGGTTTTTTTTTTAGCTTGGTGAGGTTGGGAGGGAACTGCTATAGGCTAACGTTACCCTGGTGCTGTGAGAAATACAAAAGAGACCAGGAGGTGGCCGACTGTCATGGTAAGGACAGGGTCTGGATTGAGTTAGGATAAAATAGGTTCTGCTGCAGTAACAAGTAAGTGGTGACCTCTCAGTGCCTTAACACAATAGGCATTCATTTCCTACTTCCTGTCCTGTCTGGGACAGCCGTTCTCCAGCTCAAGGGACTGCCACCAGGAATTCAGTGTTCAAACATGCTGTGGAGGGAGGATGGGGGAGTAAATGGGATGTCCTAAGGGCCAGGTCTAGAAGTTTCTTTTGTATTGGCCTGAGTTGCATAGGTCAAAGTTCAGTCACATGGCAGGAGCCAAACTCTATGGTGGGTGGAGGCTGGGAGCCAGGTCTCCTGTGTGTCTAGGGGTTGGAGCTGGGGCACTGATCCCATGGTGATGTCCCCGTGCTTCCATTTTAACTCCTGCTCCTCTGTTTTTCATCTTCATGATCATGGGCAATCTGCCGAGTGTTTCAGCCTCAGTTGTCTTGGATATAAAATAGACATAATATTAAGTGTTTAGTGCTTGGCATCTAACACATAGTGCCCAAGTCTGCATTATGGACCAAACATGCACTTTAGACAACACACAAGACATTTAACAAGCTGGGAAATTCTCACTATATGAACTCACCATAAAGTGTTTAGTGCTTGGCATCTAACACTTTCTATCCAATGCTTATTTCCTCCTTCTTATTTACAGGCATTGTCTTGAAGACAATACTTAGCATATATGCAAAAGCTAGAAACATCTCTTTAAATTTGTCCTGAAGGCTGCCTGCCTTCAAAGCAGGCAGTGGCTCCCTGGGAATGATAAATAAGACCTCAAAAATTGTAATCTTGCAGGTGGACCTGGAAACCTTTGTTTTATAATCTCTTCACAGATTATCCTTCTTAAAAATATTGTGGTAAAAAAAAATATATATATATAACATAAAATTTTCCATCTTTACCATTTTCACATACAAAGCTCAGTAGTGTTAGTACATTTACATTGTTTTGTGATCCATCTCCAGAACCCTTTTCATCTTGCAAATCTAAAACACTATGCCTGTAAAACACCAACTCCACCTTTTCCCTTCTCTAGTTGCTTCTATTTCTGTCTATAAATTTGACTATTCTAGTAACTCATATAAGTGAACCAAATAGTATTTGTCTTTTGTGACTGGCTTATTTCACTTAGCATAATGTCTTTAGATTTGTCCATGCAATAGCGTATATCAGAATTTCCTTCCTTTTTTAAGGCTGAGTAATAGTCCAGTGTGTGTGTGTGTGTGTGTGTGTCCATTCATTCACTTATGTTTTCACTTTTGGCTATTGTGAATAGTGCTCTAACATAGTTATACAAACATCTCCTTGTGATCCTGCTTTTAATTCTTTTGGGCATATACACAGAAGTGGAGTTGCTGGATCATATGTTAATTTTAGTTTTAATTTTTTTAGGAACTAGATGTTTCTGCCCATCAGAGTTTGAAAAGCACTAGACTAGAGGAAAAGAAAGTATATGATCATGTGGCCAAGTGCATACAATAAAGTGACACCTCCTATGGGAGGTTGGGAAGGAAGAAGAGCAGGTACAAATGACCAATGTGGGAGGGAAAGAAAAATTGAGGGTTGAGAGGAGACTTGAAGTCTATGTTTGAATAATATGAAATGCGAAGAGAAGGCAGTCTAAGTGGGAAACCACAGAAGCCAGTCAAAGAGCCCCTGTATGCTGCAGGGAGCAGGAGGGAAATGTGCTGGAGGCTCATGTGAAGTGAGGTTGGCAGGAGAGGTGGGGTAGATCACTGCAGACCTTGGAAACCAGCCTGATGGATTCAGATTTAATGCAACAGAAAACAGGCAACTCCTGAGCGCTCTTGAAGAGGAGTGTCACATGATGATTGTCATGTCACCATTCAGGAAAATTAATATCCTCAACAAATGAGTATTCAGTGAATTTCTAGATGAATTCTATTGTGATGAGAGTTTCAATAAAATTATAAAATTTTATACAGTTTATTATATAAATTATTATAATTGATATAAATATTATAATTGATAAGTGTTATAATTGGTGTAAATATATAAATATAACTAAGGATATAACTAGCAAAAAACTCTTTCTGTCCAAATGAGAGAAATAATATAAAAACGTGTTAAGCAAAGTGCCTTGTTTTGGTTTTTGGGTTTTATGTGAAAGCTACCAGAGTTGTGGTTTTTGAAAGGTTTCTATATTATAGATCCACTCTCTATTGTGTGATAAGGAGCAACTTAAACTCTTTCTGTTGTAGTAGTTTCCTCATCTCTGAAATGGGAATAATTAGGATCTAATCAGTTCTGATGACAATTTAAGGAGTGAATGCATACAAAGCACTTAGCACAGTGCCTGGTGCTGAATAATAAAAAATACGATATTAGTATTATCTCTACTCTTTAAAGAAATAAATGGAGATGAATAAAATCATTTTCTATTTTAACAACAAATTGCCAAGCATTAGAACCTTTGAATCTTGACTAATCTAGAAGCTGTCCTCCAGATGAACTCTCCGTTTGAAAGAGTGGAATGTAGACAGTGGTATTGTATATAAAATACCTGGATTTTAATAGTTCTCATAAGATTTCAAAGCTTTTGCTTTTTTCTTATCAATCCAGCTTTCTGTTCTTTTATCTTGTTTTATGAAATTTCTAAGTCATCATTCTCAAAATGTAAGACTGACCAGGAGAGGGAATGGCTGGGCAGCTGATCTTGGGGCAGGAACCAAATCTGTTTTGTGAGGGCCTCAATCCTATGTCTGGTAACGAGTAGACCAGTCAAGGAAACAATGAGTCGTGACCTCCAGATCACCCTTCATCACAACCCACCGTTGCTGCAATCGCTAATTCAAGCGAATGGACAATGACTTGAGGAAAAACAGCAGATTGTATGTGGTGTCCCTGCCAGCAGTGACCTGAGGAAAAATTTTGAGTGAAAAATCTGAATAGAAAGAATAGTATCACACCTCTAATAACTAGAGTTTAATAAATTATGGGCCAAAGCAGGGCTGGAAAAACAAGGTAGAGATGAAAAGAAAGGGTGCAATGCAGGAAAGAAAGAAACATTGAAAGCACCAAGTAAAACCAATGAAGTGTTTTTGGCCTGTGTAGATACACTTCTAGGCACATGCACATTTAGAACAGTAGCAATTTATCAGAGGGAATTACTCACCGATACTGGCTGTGCAGGATTCTCAGAAGTAGCATCTTAGGAAATATTTTGAAAGTTTATAATCAGCCAAGACTGGATGAGGTGGTCTGTTAACATGACTCAGGCGATAGTCAGTGTGTGAAATCACCAACCCGCTTTCAGCCCCACTTATCTTCCAAAGGTCATTGGAGCATGAGGCCCCACAAAATCAGGACTTTCTGAATTGTGTTTATTAATGAGTGTTTATATTGGGGAGCTCCATAGGAGCTGCACATTGACCTTCAGTGCCAATTAATGCTCCGGGGCTGGGAGGGTGAGGCGCCATTTGGGTCCATGATAGAAAACTCTCAGAGTTATGGACTCATTTATAAACCAAGTACACCTCTAAAAAAGGGAATGAAAGTAAAACACTAGGAGTCCTACAAACCTTCTCAATCTAAGGTAAAGTGTGTAGGACTTGGCTGGGCCACAGGCTACCCAGGCTGTACAGTTAAACCACAATTAAGGGAACATCCCTCAAGTTCAGTGGTAAGAAGCCAAACATTGTTTCTGACCCTGAAGGGAATCCTGAGTATAACATAAAAGCACTGCTTTCTTTGATCACCCAGTCAAGATTATCTTTGTATTATAAAACAGAATTATGTGAGTTTAGGAAGTATGATGGCTAGTTTTATGTGTCAATTACATTAGGCTGTAGTGTGTAGTTATTCCAACAATTGCTAATCAAGGTGTTTCTGGGAAGGTATTTTGTAGATGTGATAACACCTATCATCAGTTTAAGTAGAGAAGATTGTCTTTCATAATATGGTGGGCCTTTCTATCTATATATCCATGCATCCATGCATCCATGCATCCATGCATCCA